CTTACAATGTCAGATACAATGATGGACTTACGACTGCTTGTGAAGGACTATACTGTTGTAATAAAATGGAAAGAATCAGTGGAGGAAGGGGACTTGGGAGAGGAAAGGGGAAAACCCAGAGGTTATGAAACAATATCATAAAATAAATCTTTAAAAAAGAAAGACAAAGTAAAAAAGAAAAACAATTATAATTTCAAAGGAATTTAAATATCTATTTTGCATGCAATTAATGAAGGAAAGAATGTAAATATCACTTTGTAAGTAGATTGGCTTATGGTAAAAATGAGGCTGCTGGTGATTTTTTTTTTCTATCAGGAAGAAACTTAAAAACAAGTGTAATGAAAAGTGATTGTTGCTTTACCATTTGTAAATAAAGTTGTATATTTTTAAAAAGAGAATCATATAGAAAAATGTTCATATGTTGAATCTAAATAAGGCATATAATAATAAGATAATCAAGGCTTTCCAGAGCTTGGCCCCAATCTTCATGGCTATGGTCATCTAGTAATACTTCTCTATATGAAATTTGTATTCCAATTAAACCAGATTTCTGACAGCTCCCATTTAATGATACAAACTGTTCTTGAGTTACGGACTATCTTATCCACAGTCCTATATTCAGCCATCCTATCCATGCTTCAAGGAAAGTCCAACTTTTCCATGATGCTTATTCTGACCACTAACTCTGTAAGTAACTCAGAAGAGCATCAATTTTATTCTTTCAGAAGTATTATAGCTATTTGAACCTGTCAGAAGTCCTATGATATAAAACACATTTGTACAAGTATACATAGACCTGTCTCACCTTGTTATATATACCACTGCAGTGCCTCTTAGAGGATCTGAATTAGAGCAGAGGCTTCAAGTTGTGTTTTTTTCACCAGTGAGGGATTCCTCAGAAAATAATTTGAAAATTCTACTTCCCCAGGAAGGGGATGCTGCATCCAAGGTCATATATGTTGTTTATTGTCAGACCTGGGAGCAAAATTTAGGTTTTCCATGGATGAGAATGCAGGCTGAACCTAATACACACCAACTATCCACCATAGCTAAGAACTACCACATTTTAGCTGGCTTGTGGGCCTCTCAGAATAAAGACTTATTTTTTTTTCCCCACTCTGGTCAAATGAGACATGAGTTCTATGAACTGACAACATCAAATTAATGGTTATCTTCATTTATCCTCCACTTACTTGAGCTTGCTTCCTGGAATGTGAATGTGATGATAGAATTCTGTATTAGAAAACAAGATTGAGGGCCACATTCCATGAACGACAGAGTAGAAAGCTGAAAGAATGTGATTTCCTAAAGCTTAAAAGAGCAAAGCTACAATGATAGCCATGGATTTCCTACTCTAGTTTCTCACAGAAAATGAACTTTTTTTTTGCTCAAGTTGCTTTTACCGGAAGGTCAATTTATCTTGTAATCCTTTTTTTTACCTGCTCTCTGCTGTTTTCAACTCTACATTTCCTCCAGATGCACATCTTCCTTCCTTCCTTCCTTTTTCCTTCTTTCATCCCTCCCTCCTTTCCTCCTTTCCTCTCTCCCTCCCTCCCTCCCTTGACTCATTATCCATTCAATGTACACCTGGTGCCTGGAATAAATCTAACAACAGATTGGTGTAGACATGGAGTGAAATGCAGATTGTGCCCTTAAAAGTCACAAGCAATTAATGATTTTCTTGATTCTCTTGAACAATATAACAATCCATATGTTAATCCATGTTTATTCATCATTCATCTCAAAATTTTTCTGCCACTGCCATATCAAACAATCCCACTATTCCCAGCAACGTACTATTGATTAGACCCTGTATACATAGTATGCCCATTGTGTTTTATTTGCCCCTCTACATTTTCTGCCCTCTTCCACTCTTCTTTCCCTGGGAGGCTCATCTGTATGGATTACATCAACCAGTCCCTTTTCCTTTGCCCGCTAGTTGAGTTGGTTAATAAAGAAGTTTAGCAGATTAAAGAAAGTTTAGGAAATGAAGGACAGGAACTTACTTTTTCTAATCTTCTTTCCTGTATGTTCGTCTCAGGCTATTTGCATTTTTCAATTGAAAGTTATCATTTCTTTTTAAATGTGGCTCCATAAATGACCTTCCACTCTTGTGCTGTAGTAACCATTATTCCCTTCACACCCTTTAAACCCCTTCACACCCTTTGAACACCTCCAGGGAGCTTCAATACACCTTTCGGTTTCCCTATATAATGTCTACTTTGTAAATAGCATGTTTATTAACTCTCATCAAACTATCCTAATTTGAGACCACCTTGTTTCCTGCTACCATGCTTACTCATACACCATATGTCCCAACTTTCATTTCAAGATATATAGGCACTAGTCAAAAATAATACCCACCAGAAGAACTGTTAGGATGAAGAATGGAGTAGAAGATAGTTAGCAAAATCATCCTGCATAGAGAATCTCAGACTATAAGATTATCTTTGGGCTCGGTACAGTAGCCTAGTGGATTAATCTTCACCTTGTGTGTGCCAGGCTCCTATTTGGGTGCCATTTTGTGTCCTGGCTGCTCCATTTCCCATCCAGTTCCCGGCTGATGGCATGCATGAGAAGGCAGTACAAGACGACAAAAAGCCGTGTGGGAGACCTGGAAGAAACTCCTGGTTCCTCGCTTCGGATTGGCACAGCTCCAGCCATTGTGGCCACGTAGGAAGTGAACCAGTAGACAGAAAATATTTCTTTCTGTCTCTCCTTCTCTCTGAATATCTGCCTTTCAAATAAAAATAAATTCTTATTTTAAAAAAATCATCATGACAGATTTACTTCTCAGATACTGAATACATTGAAGTGTGGAACCAATAGTCATTGCATAAAGTTCACATCTCCACTAAAACACATATGAAGTACAACATCCTCTGCCAGCTCTAACCAGAATCTTCAGTTGGAATCTTTAGATACACTCATTATACATATTTTAGGGATGACCCACCCTTCGTGGAGAGTGAAACATGAAACCCAATTATCACCTGATTATTCCTTACTTTCTGACAAAAAAGAGTAAAATTTATGAGTCTGTTGAAAAGAATAACTTCAGATCCTACTTTGGGCAGGTGAGCAACATGGGGCAGAGAAAAGATGTGGTATGCAAAGTGATGCATGATCTCCTTCCAAAATGTCTGAGGTCTAACTCGCAATCCCTATGGATATGTTACCTGGAAGAAGATCTACAGACATGATTAAAATGTTAAATGTTTTATCTTATTTATTTGAAAGGGAGAGTTAGAGGAAGGGAATGAGATGTAAGGAGCAAGAAAGATCTTCCATTCACTGGTTCATGCCCCAAATGGTAGCAGCAATGGCCAGTGCTGGGCCAGGCTGGAATCAGGAACCTGGCTTTCCAGTGTTGGTACAGAGGCCTGTGAACTTATTCTGAACTATATTCTGAACCATATTCTGCACCATATTCTGCTGCTATCTCTGCTTTTTTGCAGGGAACTAGATTGGAAGGGAAGAAGCTGGTACTCAAAACTGGTGCTCATGTAGGATGCCAGTGCGCAGGAGACAGCCTAACCCTCTGTCACAGCTCCAGCCCCCAAGTTAAAGATTTTGAGGTAGGGAGGTTATTTTAGGATATACAATGGACCTAATTGTTAGGAGCCACAGACTTATGAGCCTTAGACTTGGCCTACCTGACAGCCTGTTACATTGCAAAGCCTGCCTTGGGCAAGCAGGATATTAGGCTGGAACATCCTGGATAGAGCAAGTGGAATAGAACCTCCACCCTTGTTCCTGTTTCAAATAATTAGTTCCTCCCCTGTTTCAAAAAGATGATTAGTTCCTCCTGTTTCAATAGATAATTAGTTCCTTCCTTGTTTCAAAGAAGATAACTACTTCCAGGAAACCACCCCACCTTTCCCTCCTGCCCTAGAGAAGAAGGTATATATATGAGGAATAAAATAGAGAGCAGGAGGCACTCTTCCACCAAGTACGTGTGTGTGTGTTTCTTGGGCCAGCAGCCCAGGGGCTAGCAGCCCGGCATTCCCAGTCCACCCTCAGGGTTTGAGCATCGTGTCCTGCAGTTTGAGACACCTAATAAAATCCATTACAAAGATCCTTATTATGTGAAAGAGGAAGTAAGGAGAATCAGTATCAAAGTAACATTAAATGATGATAGGTATCTTTCATGTTGTAAGGAAATACAAGAAAATACAAACCAAGAAATACAAGCAGCTACAAGAAACTGGAAAAGACAGTCAAATGACTTTTCTGTCACAACCTCCAGAAGAATTGCCTATGTGTTGATAATCTTAACTTTAGCTGGCTGAAACCCATTTTGAGTTCTACCTGCCAGAATTACAAGATAAGTTTATGTTAATTTAAACCAACAACTGTGGGTAATTTTCATATGAGGATCGATAAGGCATCGATGCTGAAATCTCCAAGCCCACAGAAAGAAAGCTAGAGACAGGAAAGAATAGGGAGCCATTGGTGGCATAGACAAAATTCATCTATAAACCAAATCGCACACCATCTGCCAACCTGTACTGCAGACAAGTTGGGTAACAGAAAAATACATTTTTCCTCCCAGAGGCTCATAAGCATAAACTTCTTTCACATATTTCATGTAATATCCAGGAGAACTTCCTTTTTGTCTCTCAGTTTTGGGGATTTATCAAAATCTTTGTATTACTTTGGAAAAATTTAGCAGTGTCATTCAAAAAAACAACTCTGTCTTATATCTTATTCTGTGACTTCCTGTTACATAGAGGAGCAATGAACAATATTAAAAGTTAACACTAAATATTTAGTTATACTACTTAAGAGATGAATAATTATTGAATTATGATTTTATCCAACCATTATTTGCTGACTAAAAATTACTGCATTAATATAACATAGTAAAATAATTAAATAGTTAATAGAATGTCATATCCCTACAAATAATCTGCAATGGCACAGCAATTACTTAATGCTGAAAGAATTCATTGGAAAATTCCCACCCCAGGAATGTCCAAACCAGGCACAGATCTTACCACACTCTGTCCCAGTTGCTCCCGGAAGAAGTAATCCATGTTTCTCTTCTGCAGGCTGTCAAGGTAATGCTGGAAGCGGGTGTAGGTGTACGGGTAGCAGTAAGCAAACTGGTAAATATCCTCTTCTCGGTCAAAACAAAATGCAAAGGACATCACATAATTTCTTCTATGGTCTGGGCAGCGGTAGTAGTAAACATTTTTTGGTGGAAGTCTCTGCCTGAAAGATATGAAGAAATTTGGGCATATCAGATAACTATTGAAACCTCAGAATTCAATACAGGGGATGAAGGTCTAGGAACAGAACTAGCAAGGACCATGGGAGGTGATAGTGGTAATCCCCAGCAAACCAGCTACAGACAAAATCAAACTTGACTTTGAGCGTTTTCTTCAAAATCCAGCACCATTATATTCAATTTATTTATCAAATATAAAATTGAATGAAAATGAACAACTTTCATTTTTGTTCTGTTTGTTTCTAAATTGAACACTTCATATGTATGCATACCAGCTACATAGGGTTTTAATGAAAAACGAGACAGGCAAGGTCTCAATTCTCACAGATTATAAATTCTAGTGGAGACACAGTCAATAAAATATTAAAAATAAACAGACAATTTGGTTGCACATTTCAAAAGTGCTTTGAGTAAAAATAAAAGGTATAATATTACGGAGACATAAACAGGAGAGGTCCACTTTTCCCAGGCAAGTCAGATTTTTCTTTGTTACAAGACTAACTCTGAGCTTTTAAAATAAACAAATGTGCATTGTGACTGTCCAAGGAAGGGACAAATATTCAACAAGCTTTCTAAATTATTGCTACTATTTTTCTGTAGAGAGTTACATGAGATTAATTTTCAACAGAAGCACTTTGGGAAATATGGCTTTCAAACATGCTGTGTGGGTAGTTGGCTAAGCCATCATGCTCATTTTTCAGTAAGGTGTACTGAGATAGATATATGAGAAAAAGAAGATGTTCCAGTTAGAGTTCACTTAACTTCTCATTTACCCTCTGCACAGTTACTCTCCCTCTCATACTTGATGTTCAAACACTTCACACTGTTTCCCCGGGTGTTCTTTCACTTAAAAATCCTCTTAATCCTCAACATTCCATCCCTGATTATGCCTTTCCATGATCCTATGTTGATGGCACCAGGTCAGACAGCTTACATATTTTGTAGAATCTCTTGCTTCCTCATTAGCTACTTCGTAAGTCTTCTTTATACCTCAGGACTGGTTTGAAAGATGCTTTAGGACAAAGATGCTTTGGCGGAAGTTGGCTCAGTGGATGGGGAACGTAAGTCTCATCTCTAATGACTAGACATACTCAACTGAAAGCCAAGAGGGCACAGAGGCATAGAGAGCAAACCACAAGGAAGAGACATGAGAGGTAGTTGAGGAAAATTAGAATGGTGCTAGCCCTAGCAGAGCAGCCTGCAAAAAAAATTGTTAAGTGTTAGATCTAATGGCTTTATAAGAGATTAGTGTTCATTATGGACTATCTTAACATCTTTCAAGGCACTAAGTAGCCAGGATGGGAGGCAAGGCTGTGAGACTCCTGTGGGGCAGCAGGGAATCGAGGTTTGTACAAATAATTGGGTTGAACTAAAAAGTCATTTGATCGATTATATTAGAAAGAAGTGACAGAAATAGCAGGCCATGTTGTCTAAAATGGAGTATAGACTGAAAGTGTAAGGACAGGATGGCGGACACTTGGTACAAGCCACAGAAGAACAGGACTTTTCACATGAAAATCAATGGCAGTATTAAAGGCTATGGAGGGGCATCTTTAGGGCCAACAAAAAGTCCATTTACCCCCTGCTCCCAAAGGCAATGTGAATGAACACATAAGTAACAAAAATCTTCTCACAATGCATGTGTAGCTTTAAAACAAATCCCCTAGGCACTTTTTGCTTCCCATCTTGAAATTCTAGAGTTAACAGTGATGAGACACATAAATAGTGGCTTGAAAGACGCATAAATGAGAAGAAAAATCATCTTCCCCTTATCATCCTGTATGTGGATTATAAGAAAGCTCTCCTGAAAGGGGCATGTGGGAAAAAACTTTCTCTATAGAAGTCAGTTGTTGAGCCTGGCGTGGTAGGCTTGCAGCTAAAGTCCTCATTTTGCACACCAGGTTCTCATATGGACTCCGGTTTGTGTCCCAGTGGCCCCACTTCCCATCCAGCTCCCTGCTTATGGCCTGGGAAAGAAGTTAAGGAAGGCCCAAAGCCTTGACATCCTGCACCCATGTGGGAAATACAGAGGGGGCTCCAGGCTCCTGGCTTCGAATCGGTGTAGCTCTGGCCGTTGAGGTCACTTGGGGAATGAATCAACAGATGAAAGATCTTCCTTTCTGTGTATCTAACTTTCCAATAAAAATAAAATAAAATTTAAAAAGAAGTCAGTCGTCAATTCATTTCGGTAAATCTCAAATTCATGTACCAAGCAGATTCTGGTTGAAGTGAGAAATGAAAGAAAAAGTAGACTAAAAGGGTGAACTATCCACGTGAGATTATTAACTTCAGAGTGAGTCCCAGAAGGAAAATTTATCAATTTGAAAGGCAATCAGTGGAGAGCCAAGCTAGGAGTTAGAAGAATGGATGAGCATACAAGAAGAATATCTAATATCTAATGTTCTTCGTTTGTGGTGTGACTGAAGACCTGGCAGTCTTGGGTTTCAAATTCCCAAGCAAGGAAGATTTCCAGTGATTGTGGATCTGTGGTCTGCAACCAAAGGTCTGTGGTGGTTGCTTCTGCTTCTGGCTTTGATGCTGAGCTCTGAGTTTCCTGAAGTGCTGGGTGAGCATGTCTTCACAGGCAAGTGATTCTTACAATACTAAGGGGCCTGGGGTTATAATGTTGTTTTCAGCTCTTAATTTCCCAGTATATCCAATCAAAGTCCATGCTTCAAATTCAATCACTCCAGTTCTTTCTTCTCATGGCCAAGTTCAGCAACTTGATTCTCTGAGCCTGCCGTCTCCACTGAATCTGATTATGTGCTATCAGGAGAATTTATGTACTGCCTGCAGCTGCCCTAGCTGCTCTCCTGAGTGGTCAGGATGCCTAACCTGATTAGTAGACAGAGTGGAGCTAATGGAGCCTGGTGTAATGACTCAAGGATGCTAAGATGCCACTCAGGGTTTAGGGTTTCTATAGTTTGCAAAAGACACAAACAGAAAGCTGTTAGAGTGGGGCTCAGCAAGGCCAAATTGACCAGGACTTTCAAGTAATACAAAAGCAAATCACGAGGGAGGAAAAATATCTCATTTGAAATGCACTTCTGATTTTTCTCTTATTTTTCATATGGTAGATTCATTATATATCTCAAGGCATAATATTAAGTGCTTTATATGTGTTATTTAATCCCCATTATGACCTTATAAGCTGGGAGGCTTTTAACATGCCTTTTACACAGAGAGGAAAATAAAAATCAAAGCTCAGCAAAGTAAAAACAAACAAAAACTTCCAAGTTTGCAAGATTAGTGAACCTCAGAGCCTGTACTGCATGTAGGCCCACGAACTCAAAGGCTCTTCCCACAGTCCCTTTTCCCGTTGCCACCCACTGCGGGGCCTTTAACCTCCAGAAAGATCTGTTCTTTCATCAGTGCTTTTTTGCTTAAAAAACATTAAAAAAAAAAAAAAACTTGCTATCCTTGCATTTCAGTTTGGCTCACAAGGTGCCTTGCTGTCTTTCCATGTTTTTGGCATTGTTATCCAGTTCTCCATTCTTGAACCTTATGCTTTATTCATATTGAACAACTCACAACTCCCTAACACAACACCTCCATATCTTGGACTTGATCGTCCCTTGACCTGGACTGTCTCCTTGTCATAGTCTCTGCTTGGTAAACCACTGCTCACAGATGCAGCTTACAACAGTTCTAATAGTTTTTAATCAACAAGCAAAAATGGCAGGAGTAAATTTCTATTCTTTAACATATTTCCTCTCTAAAACTTTCTTTTGCCATTCAATCTTTATGAATTTTTCTCTATTTTGAAAAATGATAATAGGTTTTCTTTAAGAACATGAACTTAAAAAAATGTATTTACTTGAAAGGCAGGGTAACAGAAAGAGAAGCAACAACGGTGAGAGATCTTCAAATTGCTCACTTCCCAAATAAGCAGTAGGAGCTGACAGGTGGAAGCCAGAAGCCAGGAGCTTCATTCAGGTCTCCTATGTGTGTGGCAGGACCACAGGCCCTTGAGAGAATCTTCTGCTGTTTTCTCAGTCTCATGTGCAGGTAGGTGAATCAAAAGTGAAGCAGCTAGAAGTTGAACTGGTACTCATATGGGATGCTGGTGTTATGGATGGAGGCTTAACTCACTGTGCCACAGCACTGACTTCTAAATAAAGTTTAATAACCTGGTTTGTGTCTAAACAATGAACAAGAGAAGAACTAAATGGATGTTTGCACAATGTTTTGAAGATAATATAGACTTCTTGAAAATAAGGATTGTGCTGCTTCTTGCCTCAGAAAGATTTCAAACAATATCTGCTAATTTATTTTTTTAAAAGCCATAATGGGAAATGAAGAAGTCAAGCTTTCACTATTCGCAGACAACATGGTCCTTTATGTAGAAAATCCAGGAGACTCAATACAGAGACTTCTAGAACTTATACGAGAATTTGGAAATGTGGCAGGGTACAAAACGAATGAACAAAAATCAACAGCCATAATGTATGCAAACAGCCCCAAGATGGAAGAAGATCTAACCAGCAAGTTACCATTCAAAATAACAGAGAAAAGCATGAAGTATCTAGGAATAAATTTAAACAAAAGCGTAGGAGACCTTTTTGAAGAAAATTACAAAACACTCAAAAAACAAATTGAACAAGACCTCAAAAGATGGAGCAACATCCCATGCTCCTGGATAGGCAAAATTAATATCATTAAAATGTCTATACTACCAAAAGCAATATATACTTTCAATACAATCCCAAATTACCCAAAACATTCTTCATTGAATTGGAAAAAATGATACAAAGGTTCATCTGGAAACACGAAAAACCACGAATAGCTAGAACCATTCTGAAGAATAGGAACTTTTCAGGGGGAATCACAGTTCCGGACCTCTGGACATACTACAGGGCAGTGGTTATCAAAACAGCCTGGTACTGGCTGGCACAAAGATAAAGAAGAGGATCAATGAAACAGAATAGAAACAACAGAAGGAAACCCACATAGATACAGTAAATTAATCTTTGCCAAAAAGACA